TTGTGTGCCATTGTAAAGACTATATATTTTCCTAAAAATTTATTTATTTATTTATTTGAGAGAGAGAGAGAGCAAGAGCTAGCATGAACGGGGGGAGGGAGAGGGAGAAGCAGACTCCCCGCTGAGCAGGGAGTCCGACGTGGGGCTCGATCCCAGGACCCTGAGATCCTGACCTGAGCTGAAGGCAGACCCTTACCAACTGAGCCACCCGGGTGCCCCAAGACTGTATTTTATTCAAAGTATGATAGGAAGCTCCATCACTTTGGATTCTCTGAAGAAGAAACTATAGTGGGCAAGATTGGAAACCAAGAGATGACAAATGGTCCAGGAGGGAAATGAATAGGCATCATGTAGCTTAAATCTCCTTAACAATAGCAACATTTGTTTGCATGTGGACAGTTAAAGGATACCATCACTTTGTGCCTTGTGGAAGCTATTCCACATTTGTGTCTTTATCTAGGATCGCTGGCTATACTTACTGGGTTTTAGAAAAGTCTGATTCAAACTTTATAGAGCACCCACCTGTAAATTCCCTGCTTCCTCCCCATCTTTTGAGGTGTTTTTATGTAGAACACCATGGGAAGGTTTCTGAATATTTTTCAAGTAGAATTTTAGGAAAAGAAGATTGCTTCCTCAGATATTATAATTGGTTTTTACATTAGTTGTATTTTCTGTGATTGATTGGACCAGGGTGTGCAGTGAGACATCATTGCAGCTTGAAAATATGCTTCCTCTTGTCTTCTCTTTCATATAATTTTCTTGGAAATGGCCCTGAAATTACCCATAATTATTATCTTTTTACTATAATTTGGACACCAACACTATCTTTCTCATACAAACAGGATTTTCTTTAGATAGACACACTTGCTGTTTGTGAAGCAAGTGCTAATTTACTCTACAGAACATAGTCTTTGATCAATTTCACCTAATGTTTATAGTTGTGTCATGGAATTTGATCGTGAAATTATACTAACCCACAGACTGCTTTTGAATGAAGATTTTGCAGAATGATTACATACAAAATTTATTAAATTCTTTTTTATTATTTATACTAATATGTTTTCATTTTATAATTTTAAAATTTAAAGTTTTTACTTATATCAAAAATAAGCATGTATGTTATATTTAAACCAAATCTATGTGTATACCATTTCACATAACATAAATATCTGCTGTTACATTTTCTTACTTTGTCATTACTATTTATTTATGTTCTTTTTCCCTGGACTCTTCATTTCTTTGCTTTAAGGACTATGTCTTCCTATTTTGCCTCTGCAAACTTGACTTCAGGATAGTATGCATAGCACATACTGTATAAGTTGAATCAATGACAGGATACTTACACATTTGAGCGGCTTTAAATTAGCTATTAATCCAAATAATGACTAATTCAAACAGTCTCTAGTGGGAAGAAGCAAATAGTGTTGTATCTAAATGAATATGTACATTCATTTTGTTTCTTCGGGCTTCCTTCACAGCTCAGTTATCCTCCTGCTAGCAGAGAGGCACGGCCTGACCATGATTTCATAGCATGTGTTAGACGGAAAACCAATTTCGTGGTGTATGAGTGATAGAAAACGATTAAATTGTTGATAAATTAAAACACAATCTTAGGAAGGTGCAAAAATGAATATGGGTTGGGTGAAGGACACATGACTTAACTTTTCCTTTCATTGAGAAACTATAGATTATACAAGATACATGTTAATTATTTTCTCTTTGGATAGCAATAGAAATTATAAAGTTACATTCAGATATCTATGGTAGGATAAGAAGAATATTAACACTGAATAAAAATATCGGATTTCCTTCTCTTTGATAATTTTCCCATCTGAAAGTCAATAAAAACTAGATGAGCTGTGAAATAGCAATAAACAAATTGCCCTTGGTATTGAAGTTTCATAGCACTTTCTTTGAGTGATTATGGATTCTCAGATGACTGGGATTTCTAGATTTTTCCTCTTCTTGTTTGCTGTTGCCTACACTTATTTTCAAAACGATTTTATTTGTGTCTGAAACGAGACTTAAGTATTCTGTTCTAAGACTCCCGTACTATCTCTAGATTTAATGTTAGTAAGAAATATTTCGTAATGAAATATCACCACGTATTTTCATATTAAACCAATATCCACTTATTTTTCTTGCTTGAGCTAATATTTTGTTTTTTATATGCCTATTAGTGTCACCAGAAATGTTTTCCCATTCAACTCCATTCATATATATACATACATATATATATATATAATTTTATATATGTGTACAATTTACAATGTAAAATTTTATTGGAGTGACATTTACCCTGGACACTACTGAAAAAGAAATTTTCTCTATTGATCATGTAAAACTTTTTTCTCTATGGCAACTCTGACGTGGTGAGCGCAGTATCAAAACATTGAGAGGCTGCAAAAAGCAAGGTTAACAAGGCCAAATGGACGCCATCTAGTGGTTATACAGACCTGGTGCAGCCTAATTTACTAATTGTCTTCAGGGAAGTGGTTCACAATTCAGATGCCTGAGCCAAGCAGCTAATATAAATAGGAGAAACGGGTGGGGAAAAAAATTCATTATCAGTATATATCACACCCTTTATGGTCATAGAACTATGGTGTAAGCATATAACATAAAATAAACAAGATGTAGAAGAATATATTTTAAACTCAGGATGGAAAGAAAAATTTATGCTCTGTGATTAATGGCTCCAGGGAATGGTGAGTTCAACCTAGTCGCTGATACCAGGTTTAATTGATTGCTGTCATTCCAAAACAGAGGCCCAGTGTTGCTAGACTTTACAATTTTTCAGGAGAACCTGGAAATCTGGATTTGTATATGAAGCCTCCTAATTTTAATATGTTGGCTCATTTTTTTTTTTTAAAGATGTGCCATGACTCCAACTTAAATACATCTTGTCATCACATTTGGTCATTTTGAGATTTTTTTTTCCCCCCAAAAATTTCTTGAATTCATCAATATCATTTCTTTCAGAGGACCGAAAATTTCTTTCAGATGTTAGGCATCTTCCAGCAACATTGTGAAGTGAGACTGGAATATAAAGTTACTGAATCACTGCTAGGTTGGGTCTTGGATGAAGATCATTTTTATTCAACAATAGACACTATTCAAGATGCTGAAATTATAGCTGTAAATAGGATAAGCTCTTTTCATTGGTCTCTCCTAGCGCTGTACCTTAAATGGGATACCCAGTAATGTGATCACAGAGCATGTCCACTTTCTATGGGGATGGCACCCTGAGGGTTTGGTTATAATTTTCCAGTGTTTTTCTTGGTCTTGAGCTCCAAATAGAATTTAAATTGACGATTTATATTACTTTGGTATATCTTTCTCATAACTTTCTGCTGGGCAGCTTTGAGTTCTTAAAAAATAACACTAAATTACAGCGCATAGTTAGGGGAGAGCAAAACACTAAGAGAGTTGTTTGTTACTTTCTATCTTTCACCAGAGCCCTTAACTTTGACCACATCTTTCCCCATCTGCACAGAAGAAGTGAATAAAGAGAAAAAGGAAGAATGATCAGAATTCCAAGTCCTTTGAACTTGCTGAAAAAGTAGGAGAAGTAGAATGAAAGGAAAAGATCCATGAATAGTCCTGTGGCCCAATTCCTTGTCTCAGGCCTCCTGTGTTCATTATCTTGAACAGTCACATCGAAGGGCAAGCCGTAGTCCTTCCTATTGCCCATTGGGCTCTTCTGGGCCCTTTCTTTCGCTCTCTGACCTGATCTATCACCACTTTCTCCCTTGTTCTTTCTGTTCCAGCTCCCTGGTCTCCTTGCTGTTACTCCATCACATCACAGATGATCCCCCTCACACCTTTGTACTGTTCTCTCTGCCGGAAAGAGCATACCTGTGGATATCCACTTATTCTTAATGTGTACCTGTCCTTGCTGAAATGCCACTTTCTTAGTGAGGTCTACCCTCAGTGTCCCATTGAGAATCCTATCCCCCTCATTCTCAACCCCTCTACTTTGTTCTACTCCCCCCTCCGCCCACAGTACTGACTACCTTTTAACATAATACATAATTGACTTATGTTTATTGTAAGTATTTACTCTGCTAAAACATAAGTCCTCTGAGGATAGAGATCTTGGTCTTGTTTTGTTTACAGATGTATCAGAAAAGAGTGTTTGCCATATACAGGTGCTCGGTATACATTTTTTAAATGAAAGAATGTTGAACTTTGTATTCACTTAGATCTGGGTATATTTTACACAGTCTGTTTTGGTCCCCAAAACATGTGTTAAAAGTAGAAAGAAGTTTGTATGTTTGATCTCAATATAGAGGGCGGTCACTTTGTATAGATAATTAGTATAAAAGAACTATAAAGAAAAAAATAATTGGCTTCAGGCAGCAGAAAGGACAATAAGAGGTTGAAAGACTTGTGATGGTATCCTGGCTACATCATTTACTACCTCTCTGGTCCCAGGTTAGCTATTTGTTATATTTGAATCTCAGTTACTGTATACTTAAAATAGGAATGATAATAACACAGTCTGTCTGACTGACCTTCTAAGTGTATGATAATGCTTTCTTTCCTGACACATACTTGTCTCTTTCAACAGTTAAGCCAACATATGTCCATATTTGTCGTTATTTTACTTTTCTGTTCACTGGACAGATTTCCCCTTTAGAATAAAAGCTCCACAGGGACATATCTGTGTCTTTGTTTTTCATTGTTTGTGTTCCCGACTTGAAACACAGTGTCTGGTCCATCATAGTTGCTCAGTAAATATGTTGTTGAATGGATAATTAAGCAAATTTAAGCCACAGAGTTCATATTGCATAATAATAGTAAGTTGGTTTATAGTCACTCTAAGACAGGTGTCTTTTATTACTGCTACGGTCTAAGCTTACATCATCATCAAATATGTGTTACTCAGGCTTCTTTAAACCACTACCAAGATGATGATCATCTTCTTGTGTTACTGTCTTAGAAGTTTAGTGAAGTAACACAGAAAACACTTGGCTGATGTAATGATTTTGTTATAGGTCTCTAAGCTGGCCGGTGTTTTGGTCAAGCATGGTGTCAAGAAAGGTGACACCGTGGTTATCTACATGCCCATGATCCCGCAAGCGATGTATACCATGCTGGCATGTGCAAGGATAGGAGCCATCCACAGTCTCATTTTTGGGGGATTTGCATCCAAAGAACTAAGCAGTCGTATTGATCATGCAAAGGTAAGTGCTTTATTTGGAGAAATCAAGTACTATCTACATACAGTACAGCCATATTTGTCTGTGAATGAACCATCCAAGAGTGATCTGTACTTATAAGATTCTCCTTTCCAATGAGCTACTTAAAATTTGTGTTTTCCTTGGCATATATATATTACCCCAAAATTTACTTTGGGGTCAATCTTATGTGAAAAACATCTTGCCAGGTGCTGTGAGGACTATAAAATATAAGATCAGATGCATACCTTTCAAGTTAGCTTGCCCTGTATTTGGGGCGTGTAAGCCATACAAGGAAAATAACTAATAACCAATTTATTCATTAACATATTTATTAACCTCCTACTATATACCAGGTACTATCCCGAGAACTCGGTAATGAGTGGTCCTTACCAAATGGATGGAACACATGGTAGCTTTATAACGTACATACTTCCAGGACTGGAGATATAAGCAAAGTGGTGAAGAAGGGCTATCGGGGGGGTGGATGACATGTTTAAATGGGGGTACTAGAATAACAAACTTGATAAGGCTGTGGTGAAACAATCACTGAGATACTGAATTGAAAGCATTTGACACAGTGCCTGGTATTTAGTACTTATTAAAAAAAGGTTAGCTATCATCTCCTTAGGAACTTAGAGCAGGAATCAGCCAACTTTTCTCTGCTCAGTTACCAGACAGTGACTGTTCTAGGCATTGTGGGTTACAGGTGGCTACAGCATCTCCCCAGCCATGCTCAAGCAACTTTACACACTGTGTAAGCAGAGGACATGACAGCGTCCCGAGAGAACTCGGCAGAAACATGCTGTGGGCAGGGTCTGGTTCTCACCCATTGTTCACAGACCCCTGAGTTAGAAGAAGGAGGGACTTCTTTCAGTTGGAGTGGCTGAAGCAGACTTCCTGCAGTTGAGATTTGAGTTAGATCTTGCCTAAGATTCAGCCAGTTGAAGAGAATGGTGTTGTGGGATCCAAAAGGAGAGAAAAAGAATGTGAGTCTTTAAAGAGATAGTAAAGGGTAAAATTCATTGGGAGGATGGGGAAGAGACAGAGGTGGCTGAAGAGGGAGAGGTGGTGAGCTTACAAAGGCAGTTTTGTCTGAACTGAGTCCTGTAGACCTTGACTCGTCAAAGTTTTTGAGCACCTGCTCAAAACATTTAAGCAATGCTAACAGGAGGCAATATGACATAGTGAGTGGGAGGGAGGTGAGAGCCTGGAATAAGACCCATTGGCAGGTGGTCTGTCTGTGAAGTAATGGGCGATGTGCAACAGAGTAATAGCAGCGGGAAGATTAAGGAAGGAAGGTAGTTACGGGAGTAACAGATGGTTGACCTTCAGAGTTTCACAAACCCGAGATGAGACCTTCCTAACAAGGGAACTAATAGGTATTGAGGGTCCCCTGGGTGCAAGGCAGACAGTGAGGGTTTGCATATCTGACTTCATCTGGTAATAGATCAGTTAGTAGAACTAAGAAGCTGGTTTGTGGACTAATTGGATAGATTATTTTCTCTCTTTTTCAAACATATTGAGTCAGTGCTTATGAAGATAAATCTAGGGGGGAAATAGTCACTTACCTGCAAACCAGTGGGCTGCTGGGGTCTCCTTTGAGGAAGCTATAGACTCCAGCGTTTTAGCTATAGAAATCCTAAATACCATTTGGATAAAAGTATGAGATGTATTATATGTATTATTTCCTTTTTAAGGAAATTATATGATGTGGGGAAATTGAGATACATAAAAATGAGGATTTATAAAATGTATAGTATATCACTGGCTAAGTTTTTATTCATCACACATGATGTAGGAAAGACATTTGGGTTTGAAGCCAATGGCCAAGAAAGAATTCTTGAGCCGTCTTTGGTGCAAAAAGGTGGTTTTATTAAAGAACGGAGACAGGACCCGTTGGCAGAGAGAGCTGCATTGGGGTCATGAGGAGTGGCCCGTGATATACTTTCAAGTTGGGAAGGGGTTAAGGATAGCATAAGCCTCCCAGGTATTTTGGAAACAAAGTTTCCAGGATCCTGAAGGGGCTAGCTGTTGTTAGGAAAAGGTCATTGTTATGTTTAGGAAAAACTCAGTCATGAGACTCTTCAGATGAGACTCTTCATATACTTGGAGGATGATTGCCAACATGTATCTTGGGGGGGTAGAGATAAAGTAAGTTTCCAAAGGAATTTTTATATGTTAAAGTAGACTTACAGGGTCCTGGGGGTCAGGCTAAGATTGTCTTTTGCCCTTAGCAAAGTATTAACATCGAGACAGCTGAGTCCCTAGAGGAATGTCACTCTGTTTCAAGGACTTGTCAATGGGCTGTAAGGTAGTAAGGAAATTTAATAATTTTTCTTCTGCCTTTGTTTCCCACATCAACACACACACACACACACACACACACACACACATACACACACACACCTTTCTTAAGGAGTTTAAGCAATGAATGTATATGCTTATAGGCATGACCATTGAACAGGTCAAATTAAAGGTGAGGAGATAGAGATATATATCTGAGATACTTGGATAGAATGAATAGTTGAAATCAGGAATGATTTTGATGTCATGATTTTCAAATAAATTGCCTCAAGAAAAAGCTTTATTTTAACAGATGAAGATGGGAAGACTGCACAGTATCCTAACAAGTCAGTCTAGACCAAATAAAATCTCCAATAAAAGGCTGTTGAATAGAAATGTAGAAGGGATTCTTTTTTTGACGGAAAGAGTCTAATTTTGACTTTATTAAATTATTCAAGCTTTGATATATTCTATATATATTTTTAATTTGATATGGAACTTACTTTCATTTATTCTGAATTCTAATCTTAGGGAATGTTGTCTAGAATTATTTTTGTGAGTATTGCAGATATTAAAATGTGAACTCTATTCAAATGTCAGGTCTTTAAAAATATAATAAAAGGAAACAAGACTTATTTTTCTTTTCTTTCTTTTTTTTTCTTTTAAAAGGCAGCTTGATACAGCGTGAAGAGAAAGGTTCTGTAACCAGACAGAACTAGCCCTCTTTCTGATTCCACCACTTGTAACCTGGGGCAAGCTATGTAACTGCACTGAGCCTCAGCTCCATGAATATTAAATGATATTCAAAAAGCAGACAGTATGATATATGCATAACTTGGTATAATATAAACCTTTCCTAGATGAAATGCATTATAACTAGAAATCAGAATTCAGGAATGGATGCACTGTCTTGGATTGATTATCTGTCTCCTGAATAATTTATTATCTGCCTCCTTTGCTTTGGATTTCTTGGTGAAGAAACAGTATACTTAAAAGGATAAAGACATGTTTGTTTCTGCAAATTAATGAGAATTTTGGTTCAGTTCCAAAAACATTTATTGAGAGTTTATGGTATGGCGAGCATTGGGACCAGGCATAGAAGACACAGAGATAAATGGGATCCATATTTGGCCTTGGGGATCTTCATGTTCAGTGTGGGGTTGAAGGAACATTTTGACTATAGGTGGACATCTGGGGCCTGCCCAGAATGGAGATTAACCCTGACTTCTTCAGCTCCCTCCAGGGACACCTTTTGGCTACTCCACAGTATATCTTGAAGAAGGACTAGCAAGTTGTCAGGTAAAGAAAAGTGCCAAGTGTAACTTAATGACAGGTTCAGGCTTTGGGGGGCTTGAGACTTAAATCCCTTGGGGGCCCTTTTAAGAAAAATACAACAAAATTACAAATATAGTATTTGGCAAAAATGAATGTATTTAGAATGAGAAAAGAATCATGAAAGAAAAAAATCAGAGATTCAGGTCCCTTTTTTTTTGTGGTCACATTTAAGCAGAGATGCTGACATAAAAAAATGTAGTAACCCTTCCTGCTAGCAACAGTCTGATCCTTCCCACCTAAGAAACACTACAACTTCAGCACCAGCCAACCAGTGTGGGCGCCTCGGTAAATACAGGGCCTCTAGGATTGCATGTCACCTGTTCAGGACAATTCTACCTGGCTTCGTGAATTCTTTGGGAAATATTTTTTGAACAGCTCGTACTTACTGGCCCAAAGCATCACCGAACAGGAAGTTTGGAGCAGGTAAGTGAGATCTCTGTGGAAGTTGTTAGGTCTACAACATTTACAAAGGGTTTATTGTTTTCAGGTCACTTACTCAATAGAGAACAGAATTATTACAACACTTCTTTAAAAATGTTAAATTGCCAACCTGCACCTGAAATATTGTGCTCGCCTAATTAGTATTGCTCAACTTTCTCAATTATTGTGATTTTTCTGTTGCAGCCCAAGGTGGTTGTTACAGCATCATTTGGGATTGAACCTGGAAGAAGAGTAGAATACATTCCCCTTCTAGAAGAAGCACTGAGACTGGGACAACACAAGCCAGATAACATGCTCATTTATAATCGTCCAAATATGGTAATATGAATATTGAATTTGGTGCTTGCTTATGGTGATGTGCTAAGGATGATTCTAGTTTTGATCATGTGAAAAAAACACTAGATTTATTAACTATTAAATAGACTTCCTGAATGTCACCATTTTTGCAAAAAAAAAAAGGTATGAATGATGTTTTCTGTCTTTATGAAAAAACTAGCTTAAAACAAAAAGATTGAAACACATATAATAATATGTAATGTTAATGAATTGGATTCTATGAATAGTCTGTTGTGGTGTCATGTATTAAATTATAATAATCACGATGATACTAACAAACACTGTTTACCATATGATTTTTGATACTCTACTAATGAATAGTTTAAAAAATCTTGCTGATAACTTATGAGCTACATAATAGCATTATTCCTGTTATGTAAGAGGAATCCAATGAACAGAGATAAAATAAAGTGCCCAGCTAGTGAATGTCAGGGTCATGATTTGAACACATGCACTCTGACCACATTCTTGATCCCTCAACTCTCCTGCCTTGTGGAGTGGTATGATTAATTTGTATATAAAAAATTATCTTTTAAAATTTTAGAGAAAGCATTTAGTCTGGAAATAAAACTATGTTCAGGAAAACAAAATATGAATATTCTAAACAGATAAATTATTCTGTGATCCATGAAGGAAGAAAAAACAGTCTAAGACCACAATGAATACATCTTACGGTGCTTTTCCTAGTAAATTTGATCTAATGATCACCTTATTCTCACATCCATGCAAGTGTCAGCTATTTATAGTGGAACCAACTTGGGTTCCTAGCAGATTAAAATTTTTTGCAGAAGAAAAATGATAAGAGTGCAAAGAATCATGTAATTTTATGGAACTCTTGAGAGGTTATCTGCAGAAAATGCTTAAATGACAAGATAAAAGAATAGAAAGCATTAAAACTATGTCATTTTGATTACCACCTAGCAATTCCCATTACCACATTAAGTTTCTGTGTAAAGTTTTAGTAGTCTCTGGTTCATGAACTGCTGCACACATTGATTTTAATATCCTTACTGTCTCAAAGAATTTTGAGTTTCTTTCAGATGCCCTCAAGCATATTTTTAAGAAGGCTTGTTGCTGTTAAGGAAGGAATAGAGAGTCAGCAATAAAAGAGGATTTGGGTATGAGGAGGTTGGAGGAAAGGTAGGAACACATACACACACACACACAAGCATTTCTGTGAGTATGTGTGTGGCATTTGCATATACATAAACTCATGAATTTGTAAGGAACTTATGCTAGGCCCAAAGCTAAGTACTTTCATATACTTCCTATTTAATTTTCACAAACCAAGGAAGTAGATGCTATTCCTGGCCCCATTTTACAGATGAAGAAACTGAGTTATGGAGAGGTCATAGCCCAAAGTCACAGCTAATAATCTTGGTGCCAAGATTTGAACTTTGGTTCAATGACTTTTAATCAATAAGATATGTGCTATTTCTTTTACTTTATAAACACACTTGAAATGGAAATGCAAGTTTCCTATTCAGATTTTTCTAATGCAAATCTCTTCTCTTTCCTCTTTATAGATAGATATCCCTGCCTCCATCCCTCCTTCCCATAACTGGCTTTCTCTCTCTTTCCTTTTTTCTTGAGACTCTGCCCTCTATTTTGACTCATCTTTATTTTAGATGAGGGTTTTGGATATCTCTTGTCCCTTATGGTAGGCCTGCTGTTTAGTTAGTAATTAAGCCAGGTGGACTGGCTTTGCTTTCAGTTTAGAGACACAAATTATGAGGCTCAGTGGTGTGTCTCATTAACCAGGATTGCATTTTTGCCAAAGGAGGTAAAAACCTTGCTGCCATTCCTAAGCCTCAAGCAAGCAATGACAGAATCAAAAGAACATCACATCAGTCAACTCTGGTGCTCTGCCAATATTATTGGCCTTTTAAGAATGATAACAGGACGTGTCTATAGAAGTAAATGTATATATGTAAAAGCTAATGATGATTTTTCCCTCTCTTCCTTTTGCCAAGTCTTCTTTACATATGTCTGTAAAGGATTTTCTTAACCTGAAGAATAACCATTCTTTTAATCCTCATTTCATTCGATTTTGTGATCATTCAATTGACATTTTTCATTAGGCAGTGTGATAATTTTTTTTTATAGGTCTGTTATTGTAATGTCAAAGGCTTGGTGATTTGAAATTAGTTGTGTTTATCTGATTCATAAAAACAAATGGAAATATACAATCTGGTTATAGTTAACTATTTTTATTTATCTCATTGGCACATTCAGGGTCTATCAGAGTGAGGCCAGAGAAGCCAATTGGGCCTTAAACTTCACCTTTACGCAGTTCAATTCTGATTATCTGTAATGTGTTTATTCACAAAGGCATTTTATTTGTGATATTAGATTGAAGTGTTATTTTGTAAATGTACTCACTTAAGTATATGACCATATTTACAACCCTGATTAATATATTCAGTATCCTGAAAAATGGAAATGGCCTGGCTTTTCTAAATCCCTCAGAGTCTTTGGGCTTCACTGGGGGATCACCTTGATGAAATGAATGGTTACGTAGTCTCTTTAGATGGTGGATCTTACTAACTTTCACTGAGGAATGTGTAGCCTTGACTGTACCTAAACTAATAAATTCACCAAATATAGACTTCCTGATGTGTCATCTGGAGCTTAGTTAACATTTCAGAAAATAATCAGGCATGTACTGAATCTTAATTCTACTTAAATAGTTATGACTCCCCATGAGAATAATTTTTCCATAAGCCACTTCCTTACTCTTTATCTTTCTGGCTCGTTTTGTTGGCAGTATTTTAAATAAAGGGGTCTAATCTCTTTTAATTGTCTCTAACTCATGACTCTATTACCATGAAGTTTACAACACAGAGCTTGGCTCAAGGAATAAAAAAGGACACAAACATTTCTACCATATTAATTATTAATTATGCTCATTAATTTTCAAAACGAATTTTTGTTCTTGAAAAAGCAAAAATTGATTTCTCCTCCATCCCTGAAAATGATTTAATATTTTCTCATTTGGAAAGACGGCCACAGTATTAGTTCTAAATTGCCCTTGTATAAAGAAAAATTTTAATGGGTTAGTTGACATTTGATCGTGAAGACTTTAGTTCCAAAATAAAAGAAAAGAAGTTAGAAAAATAGAAATTGGTTTATAAAGTTAATAGTGTACATATGTTTATGGAAAACATGAACCTCTGTTAGTTAAGCTCTGACTGTTGATGAAAACATGACTGCATCACTTTGGATTTCTTAAAGATATCCTTAGATTTGAATAAAACATGTTCTTTGGTCAGTTCAAGTTGAAGCCAACATTAAACTGTCGGACTTTTTAGGAATATTTTTAACTCATGACCCTGAAATATGTAGTCATCAATCTGATATTTAGTGCTATCTAGGCCTAGACTTTCAGTCAGCTGCTCAGACTAATATATATAGATTTAGTCAGTCTCCATTGTTCTGCTGTAACCTCCTTTGTTCAGTGCATATTCCTGTATACTTCCTGTGTAGGAGACAGTTCCTTTGGCTCCAGGTCGTGACCTCGATTGGGATGAAGAGATGGCCAAAGCACAGTCACATGACTGTGTTCCTGTTCTTTCAGAACACCCGCTGTATATTCTTTACACATCCGGAACAACGGGGCTGCCCAAGGTATTTGCTCTCTGAGGGATAAGTATCTGTAGCGGCAGAATTCTTGTGCACCGAGAACATTTGATTACTGACTGAGAATGCAGATTGTACCTAGTGGATTAGACTTGGGTACTTTATATCTTAAGGGAATGTTGTGTTTAAATCTTGAAAAATATTAATTACGTTTAATGTCAAATGCTTTGACCCGATTTCTTCCAGAATCTTCACATATATCAGCAAGTTGCAATTGCTTTAGTAAGCTCTTAAGATGAATGGATATTTGATCAAACATCAGTTGGTTTAATACAATTTTATAAAACTGTGTTTTAAATGAAATATTTTTATTTTCTAAATTGAGGTATAACTTTTGTAGAGTATGGAATTGATTTTTGATCTAAGGGAATTTAATTCTTTGTTATAAATGCAAGTTTGAGAATTGATCTAGACAGTTTGAACAACAGGCAGTTTATCCTGAGTATTGAACTATGTGATTTGCAGCACTGAAGACACTCAAGAATTTTTAAATCCGCTTACATGAAAGATGTTTTCACAAGACAAAGTTAGAAGTATCAATATTTTTGAAGGTGTCAGATAACAAATAAATATCACTTTTGCCTGTATCTCCAACTAATACTGTTTCTTCATACAACTTCATAAAGTCTTGCCATGTCATCTTCCTAGTCATTTTTATTAAGGAGTTCAATAGTCATTGAATCATAAAATTTTAGTGGGAGAAGAGACTTTCATGATCACTTGCACCCTGGAGAGCAGTGGCCTCTTTATTAATATTCGATTTCTGTAGCATCAGAGTTCTGAGAATATAATTTGTTAATATTCTTAAAATAGTGGTTCCATTTGATTAGTTTTTAAAAAGAAAAATTAAGATGTTCCATAGAAAACTCACTTGTTTGTCAAAAAAGGAAACATTTGGTAGGGAATATATTCTCTCTGAGGACAGAGACCATGTTTTATTACATTTTAGTCTACCTTTGTATCTTGTATGTAGTTGGGTACTTAATAAATTTTTGTTGAGTGCATAAATAAATAAGTAAATGCATATACATAAATATATTTATGTCATTGTAGAATCAAAATCTTTTGATTTCTGTAACAGCTTTGGTCATCTGAAAAATATTCCTTCATGGTGTTGACTGTGCCTTGTTCAGGCAGTCCAAATGATCTTCTGGACCCAAACCATAACCCTCCACCTTTTGCATTTCTGCATTATGCACCAGCCACCTAGAGTCTAACTGAATGTTTGGCTGTAAAATAAAAGGGGATTCAGAAAGTTATAATCCTATAGAAAAGTATCAACATGAGAGGAAATCCCCGACCCTGAAAACATAGTATAACCTAACCAAATAAAAAAGAACCCTCCAAAAATCACTTTAGCTCCTGTAAGCCTGAAGGATTCTTATAAGAACATTTCTGCCACTTCAAGAGTTTAAATTATCCTGAACTTCACCGTGGCCTGGATGGGGATCTTTATGGCAGGAACAGAAGAAGAGTTTGTCGGCAACTCAAAACTGATTCAGCCAATGTGGGAGAAATGACAGTAACATATACAGCGTCAGATTTGAAAAGTGGTGGTTCCTGGTTCCAAATACGGAAGGATCCTAGCTTTTCCAGGTTGTGTCTGGGTAAAGAACTTCTCTTCTGGAGTCCTAGATGCCCAAACTGAAGATCGTTTGAAGATTCAGTCATTCTTATTTTCTTCCTAATGTGCCATCCTAAAGATAATCTATTTCAGATTATAGATCTCTATGTTGAATTCAGGTCCATTCAATATACGTGTATTGCGTGTTCATTCTGTGCAAAAGATATGAGTGAACCACAGTCCCTTCAGTCTAGTGGTTTGAAATATACATGAATGCAGGTGGTGCAAGGTAGACTGTGATCCTTGCTCTAAAAGGACAGCACTATTTTTTTCTCTCTCAGGGAAAAGATGAGATTGAATTGTATCTGAAGGATTACAGTCAATAAGTTCAACAAATATGACTGAGCACCCAAATATGTGTCTGGCTGTCTTTTTAGAAGCTTGTACTCTATAGCCAGGACCCAGGCATGAAACAAAGAGCTATGGAATATGTGAAAAGTGTTATGAACAAAAATAAAGCATGGTAATGGGACCCAGTGGTGGGAAGAGTGGGAGAGCTGTTCCATCAAAGAGTGGTCAAAGAAAGCTCTTATAAGATGACATTTGAAGGATGGATAAAACTTCTTCATAGAGTGGCATCACCGAGAGCAGGTCAGTATAGGCAGAAAGGGTTAGCATAAGCAAAGGAAGTTTCCAGGATGGCTAGTGCATCTGGTACAAGTGAGGAGGAGAAATGACTAGATATATAGGCAGGGGCCAGACTCTTAAAATTTAGCCAAGAAGTTTAGGTCATATTCTGTATATAAGGAATGGAGGGCACTAATGCTACTTAAGAGGGAGAGAAGAACATGAAGGAAGGTAAACCCTTGCACCATTTTGTTGGGAAGATAGACAGGTACACACGATGGAGGCAAGGAGATTCGTTTTCAGGCTTTTAGGACTCTACTTAGGATAGCACACTTAATTAAGAGGAATCACATTTTGTTCAAAGATAGGAGTGAGGCAGAGGAAGGGTCCAAGATTTGACACTGAGAACATGGGAGAATGGTTTTTGCATATTTACTAAACATAGGAGGTGGTTTAGGGCAGGGGAAACTGCGAATTTGGGGACACATTGAGTATGATGCATCTTTGGGACATTAACGTGGAGGTGCCTAGCCAGAAGTTGGAAGTGAAGGTCTGGGTCCAAGAAGTGCATCTGGGTTGAGTGATAGACCTTTGGTGTTTAAGCATGGGAGTGAGGAGATTTTGCACAGTAGGGCATGCAGAAGGGCAAGAAAAAGTCATCTCTCAGGTCCCTCAGAACTACTTCCTTCATCCCTCTAGTGCACTTTAGAATTTCAATTGTGTTGAAATTATACATTGTCAACAAATCTTTATGCTACTTATTTTATTCTACCTTATCGCTGCTAGTTTTTGTTTACTTATCTTCATAACATTGCATGTTTTCAGAGGTTTTAGAATATATTTCATACATCTTTGACTCCACTATGTCACTATCCTAAAAATTGGGCCATGATAAATCCTCAGAATATTTGTTAAATGATCTTTTACTTCTCCACTTAGTTCCCAGACTCCTCTTTATTCATAAGATTCTCATTTCACTTTGGTAGGTATAATCAGGATTAATGGGATCTGAAATTTTAATATTTGGATTCCCAGAATAGAAGTACAGGAAAGATGAGCACACATACATTTATGAAGCATTTAAGTATAAATTTCATGGCATCATATAATTTGTTCTCTCAATCTTTGATCTTCATGAGGAAAAATAATGTTGTGAGCCCATAAAAATATTCTGCTTAAAAATACTCATTTCTCATAGGCACATCTGAGACACTCATAAGGCAATCTGTTCTTTGGTTAGAAGTTGCAGATATATTTAGGGCATATTTGCATCTCTGCATCTGCCAACCCTGGATTTGTCAGGTTGCTGTATGAGAGGTTAATCTGTCACCTGCTGTAAATAATCCAGCAACCACAATTGAGCTGCTTTGCATACATTTCTGCAGTGTTGTAGGCCTCTATCCTATTTAGTTTGGGTGCCTTTATTCAAGATACTTCAAAGTACTGCACAATGGAAGAATCCCTCATCTGGATGGGGTGTCCTTTGGGGAGAGGGAGATTTAGTGATGGTCATATGTATCTTCTTCCAGCTTGATATCATGAAGGGACAGTGATAACCACATACACGCACACACTGAAGGAACAAAACAAAAGTCCAGTGCCAAAGCAGAAAAGGAGAGCAGGAGAAAGGGGGAAAGAAAGCAAAGGATTGAAAGGAAACCATGAGAGGACTTCATGCTAAGAGAAAAGAGTCAGGCAGAGAAGACAAATACTGTATGAATTCACTTATATGTGAAATCTAAAAAACGAAACAAAACAGAACAGCAACAGACCTATGGATACAGAGGACAATCTGATTGTTGCCAGAGCAGAGGGCCTGATGAGATAGGCAAAATAGGGGAAGGGGATAAAGAAGTACCATCTTCCAGTTAAGAAATAAATAAGACACAGGGATACAATGTACAAACTATAAGGAATATAATTAATAATATATAACAACTTTGTATGATGACAGGTAGTAGCTAGATTTATCATGGTGATCACTTCCTAATGTACATAAATATTGAATCACTATGTTGTACACCTGAAACTAATATAGTATTGTATGTCAAACGCACTTCAAGAAAAGAAGAGGAAGGAAGGAAGGGAGGAAGGGAAGAAGGGAGGGAGGGGAGGGAGGGAGAAAAAAAAAGAAAGAAAGAAAGAAAGAAGAATGGATAAAGAAGATGTGGTTCATATATACAATGGAATATTACTCAGCCATCACAAAGGATGAATACCCACCATTTGCATCAACATGGGTGGAACTGGAGGGGATTATGCTAAGCGAAATAAGCAGAGAAAGACAATTATCATACAGTTTCACTCATATGTGGAACATAAGGAATAGAGCAGAAGACCATAGGGGAAGGGAGGGGAAACTGAATGGGAAGAAATCAGAGAGGGACACAAACCATGAGAGACTCCGGACTCCAGGAAACAAACTGAGGGTTACAGAAGGGAGGTGGGTGGGGGGATGGGGTAACTGGGTGATGGGTATTAAGGAGGGCATGTGTGGTGATGAGCCCTGGGTGTTATATGCATCTAAGGAATCATTGAACATTACATCAAAAACTAATGATGTACTATATGCTGGCTAACTGAACATAATAAAAAAAAGAAAAGAAAAAAAAACAGAAAGAAGCAAGTGAACAAAAAAGAAAGAAAGGCATAATGAGAAGGTGGTAGGCCTTTGGTTCTGATGTGCATTTACACAATTTATGTCACCTTTATTCCTACATGTTAGGTGGCATTCATATTTCCTACCCTAGAACAAAACATAGGAGAAAGTCAAATAAAAAAGCAGTGAACTTTTTTT